CTTGTCCTCTGGGGAGCCTGCTGACTTTTTAGCAGTAGTTTCCCTGCGCTGTTGTTACTGTGGCTTCCCCCCCAGCAGAGGTGGGAGCTGCCTCCCTCTTTTTTCAGGTTACCAGGACGACTCTTGTTTTTGGGGGGAGGTGTCTGGGGGGGGGCGCTTACTATTGCAATTTATCTTTCTGAACATTTTACCTTAGACTAGGGATAGACCTGGCCTGGTTGTTTTTCATGTCGGACTTTTACATTGTCTACTTTTAAAGCTTCCCGAGGATTTACTGGTTTGCCGTGCCTGCACCCATGCGGTTGTGCCTAACTCTTCACGCTTAAAGCTTTACAGTGAGATCCACGATTGGATTGCTAAGGCGCGGCCCTGGAGCTCGCTCCTGGAGCTCTTTGGCTGTAGAGCTGTCATTGTGTAAATCAAGTGCAAAAGAGGCTATTCCTGTTTATTTAGTGTAATAAGTGCTTACAGTTAAAACTTTAAAGACTCGTAAAAGTAGGTCTGTATTTTGAAAGTCTCATCATTCTTGTGGGAAAGGCACAACACCGACACTAGGAAAGGCAACAGATTGCTTCTGTCATATCACTTTGCTGTTTTGGAGTGTGCTTAAAGGATTATGATTGATAAGGCTGTCCAACCGGAGAGTGTTGACACAGGTGTGCATCGTTATCTTAATTAAGATCCTGGGAAAATGTTGTCTATGAAATGGGGACATAAGAAGGGCGGCATATTTTTGTACAGTTTTGCTTTTGGAGAATTTAATTGCACTTGAAGCCTGTCTTTGAGCTTCCAGATTTTGTGAGCACTTTGGCAACAGAAGTTTTAGAGAGAAATGATAGTTTAATGTTAAGTGTCCTGGCATGTACTAATGCTACTTGTGGCTTTTTGGCAATGCCTTTGTCGGCTTCCTTTGTGCTTTATCTTTGTCGAATAATGGTTACTAATTTAGAAAGAAAAGCGTAGAGCAGTATATTAAGCAAATGTTTATTAGTGTTTGGAATAAATCTGTAGAGGAAGGCATGCTTGATGTGCAGAAACAGAGATAAAAAGGAAATATACGAGACATTTTTGCCACTTCATTATTGGGAAAATGTTCTCCTAGAATGTTTTAATGATCTAAAACAATTTCTTTTTTCATGCCATCAGGTACTTAGCTACATTGCTTATGGAATGCCTTGTTTTTATTTCCAAAACTAGAAAATACAGGTTTATTTTTTCCAAAATGTTGTTCTGTAAGTTTGAGTCGATGAGCAAATGAAGATAGTGCTTTTAGCCTCTTAATAGTTTAAGGATCTGAATCGTAACCTGGGTGACCACTAAATGAATGTTACTGTCCTTGACTTCAGATCTCTGAATGCAAAAACAATGGCAAGACGGATGCTGTTGATGATATTACCCTTGGCTTACCCAGCACCCAATACGCTTTAACATATAGTATGGCATTAAGATTTCCCCCTCTCTGTAGATCATGATTTCCTGGAAGCTGGCTGTCCATCGGTGTGTGTGTAAGACGTGTGGGTGTTTTTCTTCAATATTAAAACTCGCTGTAGAAAGAGGAAGTGAAAGTGGAGGAGGCCATAGGCATATGTGATCGGAGAAGCCAGGTGTAGAGTCACAGCTCATTCGTGACTCCGAGGATAATTAGCTGGCTAGAATTACATGGTAAACTAAAATCAAAGACAGACTTATTTAGATTTGCTTGCTGAAATTAAAACAAGAGCATTAATTTTGAGGGTAATTGCTTTACTTACCCCCCAACTCCCCCATCAGAATTTTTTTTTTTTTCTGGCAGCTAAGATCAGCATCCTCATGCTGTTTTTCACGTATTATTTTAACATTTGATATGCTGTGTTAAAAGGAGTGAAATAGGAATATGAACTAAATACCTCATTTATTTTAATTAATAACACAAATAATTGTTAATATGTTTTTACATTATAGAAATCTTAGGAAAAATTTAAATGTTCTTTAGTAAATGAAATCATGTAATCCTGAGTGAATTAGAGGTTATGAAAACAGTATTATATTTTGAAATAATATTTTAACTCTGAGATAGCAAAGCCTGTTTTGTGTGGTAATATCTCAATATCTTTGTATATTTCCCTTCAACTTTTGCCTTGTGTTGACCTCTGTATTTTTAACATCTTTCTGTTATTATGATTATTAGCTGTTTTACAGAGAATAATTGTTCTAAACAGAATAGCGGTTGATGCAACTCTAAGACTGTAAAAATCTTGTAATTATTTTTTTATTATTCAGTAATGACCCTGATTTGCTTTTATCGCATTCTGAAGTATGATTCAACGCCTTATTTCTGCATAAATCTGCAGTATTTTTATAGCCAGAGTAAACCTAACCACCAATTTAACTTGGCAAATTAACTTAGATGCTTCAAAATTGAAAACCAGTATATTCTAATGTAGTTTGAATTTAAGTCTTTATTAGTAAGGATGCACTTAACATTTGTTCAGGAGAAGGGAATAGAATTTTCTCCTGCAGTTGTCATTTGCGTAATTCATTTTTCTAGCCTTTTCTCAGGCTAATGATATTCCACACCTTGATAGGGCCTTTATTTGTTTATTTGCCATAATATAGGGTGATACCTTGGAGAAAATTAAATTAGATGTTCATATTTAATATCCCAAAAGTATTTGACTTGTCTTCTGTGTTTCCTTAAACAGAATCATTTCCATTTCCTGTGCAGGTGATAAGTATGATGCTTCCATAATACATTTGGATGTTTTCAGCTACGTTTGACTTCTGAGCCGTGGGGTTCCTCCACATGTTGGCTGAACTTTGTCCTTGCACATCTCCAGGCTCATCTGCAAGTGAGTGAGTGCACAGTGTGCTTGTGTGTGGACTAAACTCCAGATAGCGTCAGTGTTGGTTTTACCAAAGTATTTATATTGCTAATAGAGACTAAGTACAGAATGTCACTTGGAGGCCTTTGATTATATAATTTTACTAGTGCATTTGACGAAGGTTCAGTAAGTAGGAAAATTTTTGATTTATGGAAGGACTCTGAATAATTTATTTTTAATGACACCATTGGATAGTGAAATTTATAAACTCAGTGCTTTTCATAAAAGTTAAGACCAAGGTTATATTTTATAAAAATAGAATTATTATTTAAAGGAAGTGATCTGTTTATATGACATTACCAGTTCTTTTCAGAATAAATCTAGTGGGAGTATCAGCTCGAGTCATGAGTACCAAACTCTTTAAATGACAAAGAGTACACAGTTGTGTGTAAATCTTGTCATTTTTTCATCAAAATAGGGGCTGCTGAATACAAGCAGATGAGAAAAGCTATGAGAAAAAAATATTTTGCAAAATATTTGTGTTGTGTAGTGAGGAGAGCAAGCAACTGGATTAGTGATAGGGAATATTTTGTTAAGTAAAAAGAGATGGTTGTGTGACCAAAAAAAGCTAATTTTACAGAAGGCTTCTGTAGTTAGTGGAGCCTGCAATAGAACAAATGCATCTCTGTGAATACTTTCAAAGGCATGAAAGTGATTTTTAACATAATACAAAGTAATATATAATTGTACTTAAATAACACACTTGTGTTCCCCCATCGCTGATTAGGTCTTACGGAGAGGGGGTTTCGTGTATGACCAAGAGCTGGAGCATTACGGCAAGTTAGGAAATGAATAACACAAGTATAAAGAAAACGGTGAGTGGTGAGCATTCTGATTTCTCTTTGTTTGTCTTTAAGCTTACTTTTTTCTGTATTTTTTTAACATGTGTGGAGTTGTTGAATTTGAAAGATAAGAGGATTGTTGTTGTTTTTTCCTCCTAAGGATAAATATAGGAAAAATCTAAACATGGATGTGAATTGGCTGAGTTTTATACCTCTTGTCAGCTAAAATATATTGTTTCATATGTCATGTATATTAATGGTATTCGAACATATTAAAACTAGGACTCCTTTTACATAAAATTGGTATGTGTGTGTGTGGTGGGAGGAAGGTTCCCCACTGTTTTGAGAATGTGAAGAAAACACGTCCCTTCAGCAGTAATAGGTTATGGTTGATTAATTGAGAAGGTTGTACTAAATGTTCTCTAGTGGAAATAGCTGGAGTGTACTCTTTGAGAAATGTATCATTCAGGAATAAAATCAATTGACGTATTGGTAATTAAATTGTAATTCCATGAAGGAAGGAAGTAGTAGTAGGAAAGATGAAGCTAACTATTGCTGTTTTTTCTTTTTAAGAATCTCCAGTTCATAATGGAGCTACCGTACTGACTATTGGAAGGAGGAGATCCTGAAGATAGAGAGGTAGTATTATCTTTTTTTTAAAGAATCCTTTCCTCTATAATCCTAAGCCTTTATTACATATAAGAACTTAATCTAGTAGACAGCAATTTCTTTATATTTGAGATATGAAAATGATCTGATTTTCCTGTGCTGAGGTTTTGAGCGGCTTCTCCCAGGGCTATGGGTTGTGTTGGGAGAGCTGAGAAATCTCATCTAGGCATACTCAGCACCCTTAAAATAGCGTCTTTCTGAGAATTCGATCTGTGATGGTGGCCTGCACAGTTCTAGTAGATGTCATTTTAGTTTGCCGTTGATGTGGATGCATTTAGCAGGTTGCCTAGCTGTCCTCATTTACCTCCCAGTCTCTGTTGCCTTCTCTGGGGGAATGCTCTCTCTGCAGGGCAATTTATTCCACACAACCACACTCTGAGTGGGAGACTTGGTGTTTGACAACTGGTTCCAGAGCTCTGCCAGGGAGTTAGCTGGGCCCAGCCTCGCTGCTCTGTGCGCTGCAGACCAGGCGCTCGCACACATGGGTTCCCCTAGTTCACAGCTTTAGGTCCCTTTCCATATTTTGCATAATCCTAGGCTACGGGTAATACTTTCCTTTTCCTCTCATTAGGTTGGCTTGCTGCTTACTTTGCAGCTGTTGCAGGGATTCACATGGAATGGAGGACTCTGTATTACTCTGGATGATATTTTTGATAATTTATTCATGTGCTGTTTCATTTTCAAAAACCTAACATTGGTGTTAAAGAATGAATCTAAGATTCTTGAAGAAAAGCTGCTGTCTTCCCACGCTATGCAGGTTAAATTAAAACCGTGAAACCCTTTCATAAAGGACTCGTTACTACATCTGAAAATGTTTATACAGGCTTAAATTGTGTAATGGTCTTTATATCTTTTTTTCATTTTTAAGAAAAATGATATACTTTTCTAGTCATCAAAAATATCTCCTCCCAAAACCATATCTGTGGAGGGATATTGGTAGAACAGTAAAGGGCTTCGTGATGTCTGATGATATAATGAGGAAATTGGTAAGCAATGTGGTAACTAAAATTAATTTCTTCCGTTAAAGGAACTAGTATACATTTAAAACAAAAACATTCAGGAAAAGTCCCTTTAATCTTGAAATCAAATGATGTTTTTGGTTAACACAACAGGGAGGGGGACATATACTAATCTCAGATTCTTTATTCATTCCTAGGTAGTAAACAGCTGAGGGAGCCATTGAAATATAGCCTAGAAAAAATGGTGATATCAAAGTGATTACTTGGAAAGCAGTTTACATTTGCAAAACAATTCAGTATTGTGACCTTGACCAACTTTTACACTTCATATACTTGGGTTATTACTCCAGTTTGTAAAATATCAGTCTATGGAATACCTGTATATGGAATGCAAGGGTCCTTTTGAATTGACTAATAGGCCTTACCGGTGATCTTAAAATATTCTACAATATTACAAAGTTAAAATGTAATATTTATTAATAGAA